CCGGGAAAGTCAGCTTGTTGTATTTTTAGCAGTGTTTAGTGCTTCAGTAGCCCTTTCCCCCACCTCACTTTAAAAAGAATTATTAGTACATATTTGCCATATACAGTGGTCACATTCATCATAGGGAATTTGTACCTGTGCATAAAATGTCTTAATTCTTCTTTTATCCCCCTTTCCCTCTGCTCTGTTCAACCCTTTTTCCCCTCTGCATTTACAAATGCTTGTTTCCATTTTCCCTTCCATTCTTTTTAAAATCCCTTTTCCTTCCTTCCCTTCCTGCACCCCCTCCTTTGTTCCCCTGCCCATTTGAACATCTTCCTACTTTCTGACATCCATCCTCCACTTTGCTTCTGATTTACCCTTTCGGTTTCTCATATAAAAGAAACATTGTGATAGTTTCCTAAGTCACTTAACATCGTGGTCTCAAGGTGCATCTGTTTACCTAAAAAGGACTCAAGTTTATCCTTCTTTATGGCAAAGTAGTACTCCATAGTATAAAAAACATTTTTAAAAAATGTCACAAGATTTAGGGCTCTTTCCTTCCTTTTTGTATTCTGGGGAATTCTGATATTCTCAGCTCTATGAAATCTCAGAGCTGCCCCGCTCCTAGAGGACAGCCTTCAAATTCCTGAAGGACTGTCGTATAAGATACTCTGCTCGGCCTAAAGGCAAAACGCGATGAGAGCCTAAGGTTCCTTCTCGGGAAGGGTCATGCTGGACTAGACAGGATTTAAAGAGCTTCCCGGCTGTCAGACTGCGCGCCACTCCCAGATGCCGGAGCCCAGCCAGCCCGGCCTGTAGCGTGAAGCCACGGTCTTGGCCGCCCAACCGCAGCTCCGTGGCCCTGTAGTGGCATGACGAGCGCGGGGGCTTCGAAACCAGCTTGGACTTTGGCGCCGGCTTGGACTTTGGTCATTTCACCTGTTTGGGCTTTGGTTCCCTCCACGGAAAATGGGGACACCCTGTCAGACAGTGTGTGAAATGCCTGGGTTCCGCAGGGATGAGTTAACTTCGCTGCTAAAACCCCCGGGGCTGGGGCTGCAGCTCGCGGGTAGAGCGCTGGCACGGCACGCGGGGGGCCAGGTGAGCTCCCGGGACTGGACACAGCTCTGCAAACTCCCTCTCCTCC